TGGCGGTGCTATCAAGTAAAGAGTTTCAGGGGTTGGGGGCGCGCTAGGGGTGGGGATGCGGGGGGGGGGGGCGGTTGGGACGGGGTTAGGGGGGAGGAGGGAATCTGGGGTATTGGGTGGAGAATGGGAGGATGGAGGATGGATAGAAGGGTTTGGGAGGTGGTGGTGATGAGCTTGAGGGGGGTTTCGGTGAGGAGGGTTGGAGATGGGAGAATGGGGTTCTTGCGTGTGTGTAGCGAGGTGGAACAGTCCGTATTGAATATCCTTTGTTCTCAGCTTTCAAGCCTAGTTTACATGGGATCCATTCGCACGCTTACCTTTTTTTTTTCTTCCTGCCTCGTATGTCGTCCTTCTAGCCCTGTTCCTATACGCCCCGCTTACACTCCTTCTCCCCCCTCCCCCGGGCCCCCCGCATTTCTGCGCTAGCTGGGGGTTTTCTGTACGTTTGTCTTGCTCGGCATGTGTGCTATGCCTTTTCTTTCCTATTTTTCCTCTTTCCCCTTTTTAGCAGCTTTGGCCTGGTTTCTTTCATGTGGGAGGGTGTCGTGCTGGATGAGATCTGTCTCTTCCCTGTGCGAATATCACAGTGTATCAGACTGTATCGCATCGCCTCCTACGCCTCGTCGTACTCTCTCCCAGTCCTATGCGTGTCTCCATCCCAGTATATCTTGTGACCCTCGTTCTACGGAGATTCCTGGTGTCTCTGCTGTAGTACACTGTATTGCAGTATATTGCACTATGCTACAGTGCGAGAGTGCGAGGAAGGGGGTATTCCTCACATATCCCCGCGGGAAAGAAACTATCTGTGTATTTTTTAATGCAATGGAGGGGTTTGTTTGTTTAGTGTAGGTGTTAGGGATTTTGCGGCTATGTTGGGCGTTTGGGATCGGGGCTGTGTAGGGGGTGAGTTTGGAAATGGATGGATGAATAGATTAGTAGTATACAAACGCGTTCTCAACTTCCATGAATGCCTACGATACACCACTTACAACCGCCACAGACCATCTCAATTCCCGTCCAGCAAACAGGGTGTCACAGCGTATTTTACAAAATACTTCTTCGCGCCATATCCAGATCCACTGACTACGCCACAGCATTCTAGGCGAGGTGGACAGACACGGGGTTTGTCTTTACTTGAGAGAAGGGCCAGCGTGGGGGGGTTGTGGTAATGTGCACAAATTAATGGCATTGGCAGGTGAAAGTAACCTATATAATGCTTTCAAGTCTAAACAGCCATCAGTGAGGAGAGATATAACCATCCATTACCGTACCCCCGACACGAGAAAGACTGGGAGGCATGTTCACGTGTTATGGTACCTATCATACAGCAGATATCATACGCAAACTCAAACGAATAGCAAACTTGGGTCTTGTTATATACAGCATGCAATGAGGAAAATGTTCTGAGATGAAGACCAGAGTGGATATTTGCTTTATATGTGTGATTTTGCGGGCTTGATGCTGGAGATGTTTAATGAAGTGGTATATTCGTGTCTCTAGTACCATTATTTAAGTGTGGGGTTAGGGAAGGGTCAGTACTGCCTGTTGCAGTATCAAAGTTTCGTGGTACTAGGAGTGAGTTTCCCTTTACTTTGTGTGTTTTGGGTAGTATTGTGTTCTGCGCCTATAGCCATCATGGCATGTCGGTGGTGTGTGGCTTGTACCTACTAGCGGATATTGAGGTTGCCCTAAGTTTTTCATGGGTCGGTTTGGTGGTATGTGTGTTTGCTGTTTGATATCGGGTTGGATATTTGCTGTGTTGGTAGGTGGATAGGTATGTATGGCTCTTCGATCGCTACTAGACTCATAGAGATTCGTACAAGATACTTGGAACTTGGCGAATAGAGTCTATATACCTAATACGTACTGTACAGCTGTCGCCGATTGTTTGTTGTGATGTTTTCTGATGAACGATGATCGTCATGTCTGAGGGGCGTGTCGTTAGACATGGATTGTACATGTTGGTTTCTCAAAAGAGACATTTGTCAATTCATTCGTATGTTTTCAGGCTGTGAGAGATCATTGTCAACCTTTTGTATGTGTATAGGCAATTTGTAAGTGGTATTATTCCTTGAACTAGCATGGCCGTCACATGTGTCTTCGATTCTCAACATTTTTAGTGTGTAGTGTCTCAGTGAAAGCTAGGCCAACGCTCTGCAGGATGAACGCACTGTTTCCATTAAGGATTGGGCCCGTTCTCCTGTCACATTCACTCCTCCCTCGTCCTAGTATATAAGGACTTTCATCGTCCTGGGATCTCGAATGTACCTCACTCAGCCTTGCCTTGCCAAAGGAGAAACGCTTCAGCTAGATCATAGAGGACTCCAGGCTTCTGGTAACACTCAACCTTCCAAACTTCCCAAATTCACAATGGAAAACGACTACATGGGCAACAACAATCCCTTCACAGCCTGGGGCTGGCGACACCTCGGCCCTGTCCCACCCCTCCGTTCTCTATCCCCTCCACGAGCCATCCATACCTCTTCCAGCTTATCCTCTCCTACTAGATTCTATGCTTCGACCAGTATCTTCAGTAGACCAGACCCAATCATACCCACCCACCCTCTCACCGACTTGTTCATGACAAACGAGAGTACCGACCGTCCAACGACCCCCACCCGTCGCAACTACTTCCAAGATATCGAGAATTACAACAACGTCGTGGTCCAGCCTCGCGGCCCGGAAGAAGTGACTTTCATGCATCCCGAGTCACCTGCTCATCCTGAGGAAAATACATTTATGCGGTCCGAGTCACCAACTGGTCATGATGAAGTAACATCAATGCCTCCCGATCCACCAGCTGGTCTTGTATATGACGAATATGAGAGCATGGATGTGGGAGACGAGCAGAGCATAGATAGCTTTGCTTATGCAGACTATGAAGCTGAGACTGAGGAGACTGCGCAAAACGATGAAGTGCAGCAGCTCCGCGAAGATTTATGGGATCTGAGTTTGTCTCAGCTCCGGGCGCGGCTGAGGCAGAGGAAGAAAGGTGTGAAGGGGAACTAGCCAGAGCTTGTTGAGAAGCTTGTGGATGTGTATTCGAAGAGGTAGGCGTGGGGGACTCACGGTGGTGGTGATGAGATAGGCGTTCATGTGTAGGAGGATCATGGGTGATTGTATGTGTAGTGTGACGTGAGATGTGTCCTGGATGGATGGGAGGTAAAGGCAGGAGAATAAAGGGCACATTCATTAGAGCAGATGGAACTTGAATAGTGAATTTAGATCGAAATATTGGATCGCGTACTTCCTGATAGAGAATAATCGAGAATAAAGTCGAATACAACATCAGAATTATAGCCTACATCATTCACGTTGCACAACCACCATAAATCTGAACTATAGCACGCGTCAAATTGCATCCCAAACTTCCAGAATCACTGATACATACCTCATCCTTGACCCCCCCTCCTACCCCCCAATCCCCCCAACCCTGACATACAAACTCTTAACCTCCATATACTCCTCCAAACTCCCCAATAAACTCTCCCTACCCAACCCACTCTGCTTCCAACCTCCAAACGGCAAATCCCAACATCCAGTCGGCCCCGTGCAATTCACACCGACCATGCCGCTCTCTAGCTTCTTGCCCACGCGCATGGCGCGCTCGAGATCGCGCGTGTAGAGTGCGGCGTAGAGGCCGAATTCCGAGTTGTTGGCCAGACGGATGGCGTCGGCTTCGGTGGCGAACGTGTTGATTAGGACGACGGGGCCGAAGATTTCGTGCTTGGTGAGGGGGGAGGTGGGCGGTATGTTTAGGAGGATGGTTGGGGGGATGAGGAGGGAGGATGGGGGGTTGGGAGAAGGACTGGGTGAGGTGGGGGAGATTGTGATTGTGGATTCTGCGTCTTGTTTGCCCTGGTCGATGAATGCGCTTACGGTGGCGTGCTGGGTCTTGTCGGCCTGGGGACCGTTGTTGGTGGTTGGATTGGTAGGGTCGCCAAGAATTCGTTGCTGGGCATAGTGGGTGAAGGAGGTTATGAATTTGTCCTTTATGCTTTCGTGTACATAGATGCGACTATTGGCCATGCATGTCTGTCCCGAGTTCCACATGATGCTGTTCTCGGTCTCCTTGGCTGCTTGTTCAATGTCTGCGTCTTCGAAGATGAGCGCGGGAGATTTGCCGCCAAGTTCGAAAATGACTTTTTTGAGATTCGACTTGGCAGCTGCAATCTGGATGGCTCGGCCTGTGCGGGTTGATCCTGTGAAGGAGAGTGCGCGGACTTTCATGTGGGAGGCGAGTGCGTCGCCAGAGGGTTGGCCATGGCCAGACAGCACGTTGATGACGCCGGGCGGGAAACCGCATTTTGAGATCCATTGAGATATTTTCCAAGGCTGAGTTATACAGTTAGCGATGCAACATCTTCGATAAATTTTGATAGCGTTACAGTAGACAGTGGAAAGTAGACGTACTGTCAATGGAGCCTTTTCACTGCTTTTAACAACCACGCAATTCCCGGCTGCTACCGCTGGTGCCACTTTTTTCGAGAAGAATACTAGCGGCGCATTCCAGGGTATGATGATCGCTACCACACCATATGGCTGTCGTAGACTCATATTCAAGAACCCAGGCGTATTCAAACTCGTCTGACCCTGTGGGTAAGCCGCCTCAGCGAAGTAATTGAAGTGAGTAGCCGCATAGTTGGCGTCGAAGAACGTGTTGACAGGCCGGCCCATGGAAATCGCATCCAAGTAGGCCAGCTCGTCTTTTTCAGAGAGTACGAGTTCGGCCAGCTTTTTGAGCGGTACACCACGTTGCTGCGGTGAGAGGGCGCTCCATGCTGGGAAGGCAGCTTCAGCTGCATCCACTGCAGTGTTCACATCATCGATCGTGGATTCAGCGACTGTTTCTAGTTTAGCAACATCATTGAGTAGACGGGTTCTCCTCCACAATCGTACCTTTCGCGACCAGTTCACCCGTATGTGGTGAGAAGAGATCAAAGGTAGTGTTATCGCTTGCAGGAACCAACTCATTGTTGACAAGCAATTGAGTTTCGATTGTGTCTTTCATTGCTCCCAACATCTCCCTCCAAGCGAACGCCGGCAAATTTTTGGAATAGAACGAACATGCAACTGCTTCCTGTGCAAAGATGAATCACTGCTGTCTCAGTCTGAGACATCAGAAAAATCTGGAGGGTCTGTTGAACAGCATCAACGTTAACGTCACTATTCTGTAAATAACCAAGCTGGAAACAGTCTCAGTGGTCGGGACCGTGGGGCGCCTGCAGTGGCGGCGCTTAGTGCATATTACTGGTATACAGGTAGAGTCTGCCGGACAAATTACAGCAGAAGAAGCACTTCAGGTTCAAGAGTTAAGATCGGAAGTATGCCGGCAAGGTCGCAATTGGTGCGCAAGACAAATCACACTTTTCTTACATGCATACCCTAGCCATGACGAAATCCTCGCCGGTCCTCTCGTGCTGAGAAGACAGCATCATCGTACTAAGAAGTCCTTGTTATCAGCAAAGACAATCGAGAGGAAGAGCCATGGAACTGAAGAGTAAATCCATCACTATCGATTCTTACGTGAGGTGATTGCCAACGTCAGAAATTCATTGTCTTGGGAGTTTGGTTCGCGGAGGCGGGGCCGAGGAAGACGCAATTGCCAGCCACATGCATGAGCGTCAGGGGATCATGACCTTGACTTGACAAAGATAGTGCTCATAAACGGTAGAAGCAAAAACATCTGTTATGTCTTAGGAAGGTGCAAATGCAAGTTCAATCCGCATGCTTGTCAGATCCCAACGATCCGACACAATGGCCCAGACCAAAGTCCACCATCCTCCTCATCGGACTGGATCTAGGTGCGAGGCCGATGTTGTCAACCAACCATTTCCCAAAGCGAGTGGTCTATTACCGAAAAAGTAGATATCTCGGGACGTTGGACAGCCCGTCGGCTCCACACCCTCCATCTAGAACTACCCAAACGAACCTCGACCCACTTAATACTACAAAAGTAGCTACCCTACTCCAGACCATTCCATCGCAACACCTGCTCTACGAGTCTGAGCCACGCAACACTTGCTATTAGGGATTGATATCGCATCCAAAATGCTTACATCTCGCCTTTCCCCTTTTGTTATTCAGAGGTCTCGTATATTTCATCTGAGTATCTCATGATGCTCGGTACCATGAGTCGCTATTCGTATTACACAGCATGCGAAGATCTTCAGTTCTCCTTAACGCGACCACTATTCAAGTTACATACGGTAATGATTAGGAATCATTCCTTGGGAGTTCGGTATTCGGCCCGTGACCAAATTGATACAGCTGTTATACCAATATGCGACACTGATTATATATTCTCGTGTGGTTCAAATACGAACTAGCTATCATCGACAATAAAAAGGGAAAAAGTATCGTGACGAACAGAGTGTATATACGGGCTATCTCCAAAGCGTCAACAAGATTGCTGCGCGGACCACAAAGCTCACAATTCGCCGATATACATACCTGTATATAATGATGCAGCTTAAGTAGCTAGACAAAAAAGCGAACTTCATCTCTGCCTTTCTCAGGCACGCATAATGACTTGAACCTGCATAAAATGCGCCAACGAGCATCACACTCTCGCAAAATCGTTGAATCCTTGACCAAGTCTCATATCCGGTCATCCCTTTTATATATAGTCCTTCTGCCGACTCTACATCTAACAAGTATCGGAACCCTGTGGACTTGCCAATGACGAGTATGACCACGGCGAGACCTACCCATAGCTTGCGAGTGAAATGCAATGCCCCAATTATCTTGCCTCTCTGTTCATCTTCCAGAAGACACAATATCGCGCGTCACCAGCACAACCAGCTTAGTGCCATTGGATGCAACACCGGGAATACACATGATGTGGTCAAGGGGACACAGAAAGTGAAGTAATGTTAAATTCTTTCATTAGAGGTAGTTGATAGTCATCTCATTTGCGTAAAACTGCATTACATTGCTTGGACGCAACGGAATTCACAAACGCCTCGAAACCACAAAGCATACTAAATGCCCGACATCATTTGCTCGTGTGTGTGCGCGCCAAACGCCGTGGATCATTTCACCTTGGCCCTACGGGTGGTGGACCGGGCGGAGGTTGAACATGCGAATGCATGTCCGGCACCGCCTCTGTGCTAAGCAGGTTTGTCAAGTCCCCCCAATTCCAATCATGAATGTTATTGATCGTAAAGTCCATGAAATGTGACTGTGTGCTTCGGTCAGACCGGGTGTTTGGGTAACCGCCCAATACGGGGTATGCAGGATCCTGTTCGTAGCGATCCTGCATATTGTCTGCAAATATATATGCACCACTGTTGGTGCTTGGGGGGAGGTACTGATATGGTTCTGGATCATGATGGGGCTGGGGTGCTGCAACAGATACAGCCCCCACCGATTTCACACCGGCGTCTGTAGCGCCAGCGGGAGTAGTTGTGCTATGCAGTGCCTCAGCCATGGAGTGCAGTTCTGGAACTAGCGAGGCAAACTTGTCGAGGGTGCCTGGAATACAAGGGTTACGCCTCTGACGCTGCGCTAGATCTGCAAGTTGTGAAAGCAGCATGGCGGACTCGGACATGCCTAGTGGGTTGGCAAGCTTGTTCAAGCAGACCAGGTCCAGAACGAGTGCCGAGCTCGAGGTGAGAGCGAACCAGATATCACAAGTCGTAATGGGATCGAACTTCTCGAGAGAGTCCAGACGAAGCAGTATTCTGGCAAGATCTTGACCAGATTCTGAACATGCATTGGCCATAGCTACTAGAGCAGAATTGGGGGAATCATGGCCTTCTTTGGAAAGAACGGAAGCTCGTGCGAGCAGAGCCGCGCGGCAGAGTACGATTATGATGTAGTGATACCACGCATGCATGATTGCAATTGGCCGTTGGAACATTTGTGGAGTAGTGTCGATTGTCTCGAGCCGGAGGTGTTGAGGGAGCGAATCCATCCATCTTTGCATGTCACGCAACACTGCTGCTGCAGGGGACAGTGGACCAACGTAGGACTCCTCGCTCGCGTGTTGTTTGACTGTTTTTGGTGCTCGACAAGCCGATGCCATAAGTCTCATAAGGCTGTTCACCCATTTGCGATAATCCAGTGGGTAGTAGCTTGCCATACCAAGTATCCTCTCATTTGGGCAGCCGATTTTGGGGCTTGGATGCCCAATAGCGCCTGGGCGGTCGTAGGACGTGATCTGGGCGTGTTCCAAGCTATATATTGACCACCATAGCTGCTTTCTCAGTTCTCGCACAACAGGTGGCTGTCCTGCACTTGCTTTATCCTGGTGCAATCCGATGGCATAGGCAATACGTATCGCTGCGCCCGTGAGATTCCAGCATGCATCGCGGTGGTTCGTGTTGTGGAGGTGTATTGCAGCCAGTGTCAGTGCCTGGACAGCCGTGACGCTGGTGGTGAAGATCACTACAGGGAGCAGTGCCTGTACCCGCCGCCACCATACCTTCTCTTGCTCCTCTGGGAAAGTGATGCGAGCTATACGACGTGCAAGTAACAGGACACAGAGGAAGCTGCACAGCCAAGCAGGATCGAAATTGTCAGCATTCACCAGCCACGCTTCGTAAGCCTCTCGAAAAGAAGGCTCGTGTAGGATGGGAAGCTCCGGATTGATGCGCTCGAAGAAAGCGGTGATCAGCGACTCGAACACTGGGCAAGGCATGCCGGAGCGGTTGTGGTGTTCGATGGGCAGCCGTTCGTGTACATCTGGGGTTGCAGCAGGCATAGAGAGGGCACGGGGATCATTGGCCCCCTGACTGAGCTCATCTTCAGCAGCATTCTTGCCAAACAATGTGAACTCGCGCTTGGCACCGCGGCCTACCAGTGTGCGCAGCTTGAAGTGGAAGGCCAGAGAACTCGCAGGACCGATATATTGCACTTGGCCCTGCTGGTCAGGGAGAAGGGAGATTGCGTCCTCTCCTTCCTTGTCGCTGCTGTCCGGCTCGCCATCGGCTTCGCCCAGATGTGCGTCGGGCAGAGCTATGTTCAGCGACGTCGCAAGCTGGCGCAACGACTCGACACTCGACACATCGGCCTCGGGTACAAGTCCCTTGACCAGCGACTCGAGCAGTGCCAGACGGGTGCCCAGGCCCTCGACGCTGCCATACAGACGTTTCTTGCGTGGCTGTGTCGTCTCGCATTGGATGTGATGGAGGATGCAGTATTTGCACGAGTCCTGGCCCGGCTCTTTTCGACATTTTTGTTTGCGCGACTTGCACTTGTCGCAGCTCGTTTCTGTCCGTTTCCGCTTGTCGAGGGGTACTCTGCGTGAATGAGCGGGATTACTGCTCGTGGCCGTCGTGGCAGCAATGGGCGAGGCGGAGGATGCCATGGAGGCAGGTATCATGGTGGCGGCGGCAGCGCGTATTCAGCAGCGCATTTAGGATGGTGGACAATCACTGATCGGTCAAGAGAAACATGATGGTGACTTGGCAAGACCATTGGAGCTTCAGGTCGTCGTAATCTGCTGCTAACAAGACGCGCTCACGGAATTAAGACCAAGATGGAGGGCACAACGGCCGCATCATCGTCAGCAAGTTAGTGCCTATTAGTGGTTGAGATTTGCGCAGGTCGCGCCCATGTAGAGTCATGTTAAGGGCCAGGATAGACGACGATCAACTGAGCCAGCAATTGGTTTCCTTCCTACCACCCCGTTTCTAGCTCTGTGATGAAAGGAGGATAGGCGTATTACTTGTAATTACGTTCAGTGTCTCTAAGGGATGATCAGCATCCGTGGAAGGATATCCCTACCTCGGTACCTTACTACATCACGACGTTACACCGAAGCACACGGTAATACGCTGGGTATGGCATTTTAGACGGAGACAGTCGCTCAGAATAATCGTATCCAAACTCATTACCTCAGTGGGAACCTTTCTTTTTTTAATGGCCAGAACTATCATAAACCAAAAATTTCTCGTGCAGTACCGGTAGTATTAATGCCCTTAAAGTAGAAGCTCACAAGGTTGTGCCCGCTTCCTCTAGGCCAGCGTGACGCATATGACACTTTCGCCATCATATACAGTTCAACGCAAGGATGAGAAAGTTGCTGAAGAAATCATATAACTTACCATGAGCCCAGTAACTGCGCTGAAGTAGTCACACCACACACACTTGGTACGAGTCAACATAATAGGATTCGAGATGTTCCATCCTCGAGGATTTGTATTCTTGCAGATAGGTAACATAAACTGCATCTACGGTGTCTACTTGGGAAACTCTACCAGTACTATCCAACCGCAGTGATCATTTTGCCTGCATCCTATAGCCCCTGCAACAAAACCTCGAACTCAAACTGTTCACAAAGCAACGCATACTCATCCAAAGTCCTAGGTCCGCAGCTGCCACTGCCCAATCCATGATGTTGCCAATCCAGCCTCACCACGACATCCTCCCTCTTCTTTTTGCGTAGTTCGAACGGATGTCCAGCAGCAGCAACATCCTTCATCCTATAGTGGCTGACCTGGAAGTCAAATGGCCGCCTCTTGTCGTCTTTGTCTACAAACTGAGCCAATATACCAGCGCCAGACCCATTGGAAAGGGAAAGCCAGCGTGTATCAGTTCTATTCGAGCTTTCCTGTGGGACTTCATAGTCCACCCAAAGACTGTCAACCTTGGATGCGGTGTAAAGACCAATAGGCTGCGACAATTTACTGTCGCGGTAGGATTCACCGGGCCCACGACCAAACCACTTGACATTCTGGAACTGTGCAGGAGTTTCTAGCACGATACCAGCACGGGGAAGGGTGCGAGGCAGGTTTTCACCCTTAGGAGTACCGGTGACGTGGACAGAGAGCGTACCGTCGGCCTTGAAGGTGTAGGTGAGAATGCATTCAATTGACCATGATAGTATGGGCGGTGCGACGCGTTGATGCACAGTGATCTTCAGGCTTTCGCCTTCTTGTGACCATGAACACTTGCGCGTAGAGGGTTTGGTGAGATGGAGGTGCTTGTCCTTCCAGTCCCAGCCATCTTGTGGAATGTCATTGTCTGTTGGGGCGCGGAAGAAGTCGATCTCTGGGGCTTTCGAGATGACTTCCGTAGATACTTGAACCCATGATGTGAGGGTACCGTGAAGGGTATTAAATGTCCATGTAGACGTTGAGTTAGCAATCTGAAGGGTGTTCTTTGACGTTGTGACATCAAACTGTTTGTTGGAGGATGATGGTCGTTGCAGTGATGCAACAGCGACCACTGGAGTCTCCGCCGTCGCAATCTCAAACCCTTTTGGTAAGACTTGTGTGTCCTCCTTGAGCTTAAAGGAAATATCAAGCAGTACCTCGCCTTCTTGACCTGATACCTCAGGAAGGTCTACTTCGAAGGTGGCACCTGGAGCGACCCCTGATGGAATCTCAATTGACCCCTTCTGTGCACTGGGACCCTTCTCGCTCGAAGTTTTGAATTCGCAGCTGAGATGATCCAGCGTGATGAAGTCGTATCGGTTTATGAATGTTGCCTTCTTCCCGTTTGACTCTAGCAGTTGTACCGGCTCGATGGCCTTCTTGTACTCGACCAATCCGGCGTTTGGCTTATGGTCCGAGTTGACTAGACCGTCCATAACAAATGTTGCGTCGTGTACCTCTTCGCCAAAGTCGCCTCCGTAAGCGTAGTACTCCTCGCCACTCGCTTCATCCTTTTTCAACAAGCCGTGGTTGGCCCATTCCCAAGCAAACCCGCCTTGAAGAGTTGGGTACTTGTAGAAGGCATCGATGTACTCTTTGATGTTACCAGGGCCATTACCCATCGCATGGATGAACTCGCACAAGACTAGAGGCTTTGTTTTGCTCTTGTCCTCAGCGAAAGCAATAATCTCGTCAATGGGAGGGTACATGCGTGAGTACATATCCATAGTATCAGCGTGTATGTCTGCTTCGTAGTGGATGGGTCTACTGTTGTCGTAGGCTTTGATGTGGTCGTACATGGCCACAAAATTACGTCCAAAGAATGCTTCGTTACCCAAACTCCAGATGATAATTGAGGGATGGAGCTGATCCCTCTTTACAAGCGCTTCAGCGCGATCCACATACGCTTGAGTCCAATCCGGGTTGTTCGTAGTCCACTCTGCAGCCTTCAAGCGCGTGAGGAGCTGTCTTTCACGGAAAGGTAGATTCCGCTGATCATTGGAGAGCGCAGCATCTGCGATGCTTTCAAACCCGTGACACTCCAGATCAGCTTCATCGATGACCCAAAATCCCAGTCGATCCGCGAGGTCGTATAGACGCGGGTCATTTAGTTGATGTGATGTGCGTATAGCGTTGATGTTATGTTCTTTCATCGTAATGAGATCTTGCTTCATGAACTCGTAGGGGACTGCTCGGCCAAAAGCCGGGTGGTGTTCATGACGGTTGACTCCGCGGAAGACGACTCTCTTGCCATTCACCTTGATGAGGCCATCTTTCATCTCTACTTGCCGGAAGCCAATCTGGTGAGGAATATGCTGGCCATTAAGAGATACGACCATTTGATACAGATTGGGTGACTCCGCGGTCCATTTCAACGGATTTTTCACTGGAATGGATAGATCTGTAGTTCCGCTACTCTGGACTTGGGTGTCTGTAGAAGCAATAACCTGCTGCTGAGCGTCTAAGAGCTTGACATGAAGAGTTCCGGACCCGACTGTAGTAATCTTCAACTTGAGCTCTGCATCTGTGTATGATGAGTCCAGAATTGTCTGGGCAAACACATTGTCGATTCGTGATTCCTTGGGGAAACCAACGAGAAGCACATCGCGGAAACTGACCAGATTAGCCTCTCTCGTTCGAACGCTGCTATATTACGAGCCTTAAACTGACATGCCACTTAACCACCACTGGTCCTGATCCTCAATGTACGTTCCATCACAAAGCTGGTATACCCTGACTGCCAAGGTATTCTCCGAGTCTGGGTCAACTAGATCCGTGATGTCAAACTCATCTGGGTTCCGGCTGCCTTGTGAGTAGCCGACTTCTTTCCCGTTGACCCAGACATGGAAGGCTGCATCAACACCTTCGAACCTGAGACGGAGTTGATCTTTCTTGAGCTCTTTGGGAACGGTAAATTTCCTAATGTAGGAACCAGTCTCGTTCTCGGTGAAGGAGACATTTGGCGGATCAACAGGGATCTGGTAGATCACATTGGTGTATTGTGGTCCTTTTCCAAAGCCCTGCAACTGCCACATTCCTGGAACGACAATATCATGCCATTTAGAGATGTCGAAGGAGGGCGACTCAAAGCCCTCTGGGGCCTCATAAGGGGAATAAGCATGCTGAAACTTCCATGTTCCGGAAAGGTTGTGCGTCTTTGAGCGGCTTGTATCATAGGTGAGCGCATCGTCTTCCGAGGTGAAGTTGTGGAAATATGCTCGAACTGGGAGTGTGTTCTTGTGTAGGATTTCGAGATTATTCCAGTCTGGAATTCCTGCTGGATGCTGTCCTGACGCCATGACGAGTAGTAATTTGTGCAGTGAAGAGGTTGTCGACGCAAAGCCTGCGTGATGGTTCTTCTTGTTCTTCCATCATGACTGCCCCACGTAATAATGGTATGGAGTCGTGGACCCCGCGGCATGAACTCATTGGGAAATCCGTCCGGTCGCCCACGACCCAGGATGCACTAGCAAAGGGTACCGTCAACTGTAGAGTGGTTGCCAAGACAAAATGATGTGTTCTTCACCTGATCGGGAAACATTCTTGGCAAGCGGAGAACTGTTGCCCATATTTGTCTATAATGCCGTTGAGGGGCCGGGCGATCGGGCTAAATACCGGCCGGCGCGGGGTTCACTTGAGATCCTGACCGGATTCGTCTGTACGTCTGCGGAATGCCACTGTGCAATGGCTCTGGTGAAAGGGGGGGGGATTGCAAGATTCGACACACCCGCATCCTGGGCAGATCTCCAACATAATTGGGTGTGCGTGGCGGTTATGTCAAGTATGTGAAGTATCTGACATGTAGTACTCTACGTGTTGATCTACACTAACGAGGTACGATCTAACTAATGCTCGTTGTGCTATGGCACTTCGCATGCATACACCCGACCTGGCTAAACCACGGGCTGGCTGACGGTTGGATCCGAGCACAAATCGGATCACGACCTGGAACAGTCTTGGCCCACATTTCACTCCGGATCTCTCCACGAATCCATCTCCAGATCCAGAAGCTGACCCCCCCGCTCCACCACTTCGCCAAGCTATCTAACGACGCGTGATTCCTCGTTTTCACACCAAGCTTTGTACGGAAAGCAAGATGAGCAGGACAGCCCGGCCTATGATTCAAGGTTTACCATAGTAATTCTCTGGTCAACTGAATGCACTTGGATCTTTTGGGGTCTCTACCCGCTGCCGACCTCCTTCCAGCACCATATCCGCAGAAAGGTCTTCCCCTTTGCCTCGCTCGTGGCTGGATTAGGAAAGGTTGCAGGATTAGATGCGAAAACCTCGATAGCCGTTGCAACGCTGAGGTGCTTGTTGCCGCCCCTATACGCGCTTTTGAGACGGGAATCAAATGGCCAACGGCTACCTGGAGAAATGCGGATTTTAGTGCATGTTGTCCCTTGCTCGTGGACTGCCTCGGTGCATCCGCACGTGCAGGACGGGGTTCTATTTTGCGGAGATGCCTGCAAATCCCTGAGCTGTATAAGTTGATCCACCACCCCGGGTTCTTGAAAGATCATCGCAGGTCAGCATAATACAGTGGTCTCCACTGCTCGACTCTGGGCGCATCCGACAACTCACCTGAGTCCTATCTCAGTTCACATCACAATGGCCGAAAAGAATGGCGATATGGGTGCCGTCACCCACCAGGTTAGTAGGGTGGACGACGGCCTGGACAAGTCGGCCAATATCAAGGAGGCTCACGTTGCCAATGTGGCACTTGGTAGGTTCTCTCATCGTGTTCGCGATACACCGCGACATTGTTTTACCACGTTCTAATTTTGTAGCTGCTGCGCTTGAGGCACAGAAGCCAAAGCTGTTTTCGAAGAGCATGATACAGCTTTACGGCATCATGGGCGTTGGTTACCTTGTTTCCACCATGAACGGCTTTGACAGCTCGCTTATGGGTGCCATCAACGCTATGAAATCATACCAGAACTCCTTTGGGCTCAGTGGCGAAGGCTCGTCTGCCGGCATCATCTTCATTATTTACAATCTTGGTCAAATTGCTGCTTTCCCGGTCTGCGGTTTCTTTGCCGATGGCTATGGGCGTCGCATATGCATCTTCGTCGGTTGTCTGGTAGTCATCATTGGGACAGCAGTCCAAGCGTCAGCTAACACTACGGGTCAATTCATCGGCGGCCGATTCCTTCTCGGTTTCGGGGCTTCCGTTGCAAGTGCTGCTGGACCTGCATATACTGTCGAACTGGCTCACCCAGCGTACCGCGGAACAATGGCCGGCATGTACAATAACTTCTGGTGGGTTGGCAACATCCTGGCTGGGTAAGTTTGATTTTTATACTCTGGACCTTGATCGTAGCTGACGAATTAAGATGGACCACCTACGGCACAAATCTTCACATGGCCACCTCGTCATGGGCTTGGAGAATTCCGACTATCGTTCAATGCTTCATCCCAGCCATCGTTATGGCATGCATCATGTTCTTCCCTGAAACACCTCGATGGCTCCTCAGCCATGATCGCAGGGAAGAGGCTATTGCTATCATGGCCAAATACCACGGTGATGGTGACGAAAATTCTCCCATTGTCCAACTGCAACTCCACGAGATCACCCAAGATTTCTCGGCAACACGCAGTGACAATCCGTGGTGGGACTTCCGTGAGCTTGTAAGCACAAGGGGTGCGCGTTATCGTCTCTTCATGGTCATCTGCATGGCGTTCTTCGGACAGTGGAGTGGTAACAATGTAGTGTCATAGTAAGTCCACCTGGACCCCCCTGAACCTCTCTATCAATCTAACGCGTTCAGCTTCATGCCCCTCATGGTCGCGCAGGCGGGAATCGACGACCCAAACACGCAGCTCTTGATCAATGCCATCAACCCAATCTTCTCCATGCTTGCCGCTATCTACGGAGCAACCCTCCTGGATCGCTTGGGACGCCGAAAGATGCTCATGGGTGGTCTCTGGGGCGGTCTCTTTGCCTACATTCTCCTCACTGCATTCACGGCGGCCTCAGAGCGCAATAGCAAACTCTCGATCGGCACCATTGCCAGCATTTACCTCTTTGGTATTTTCTTCGCTTGGGGTTGGACGCCTCTTCAGACACTCTACTCGGTCGAGTGTCTCGAGAATCGCACACGTGCCAAGGGCTCTGGTCTCAACTTCTTGTTCCTCAACATTGCCATGGTCGTCAACACATACGGTATCGCCGTCGGCATGGAGAAGATTGAGTGGAGGCTATACCTAGTCTTCATTGGCTGGATCTGCGTAGAGATTGTGGTCATCTACTTCTTCTTCGTAGAGACTGCTGGCCGCAGTTTGGAGGAGCTCAGTGAGATTTTCAACGCGCCAAACCCGAGGAAGGCGTCGCTCAAGCGCGCAAAGGTGGCCATGGATGACCGTGGCCAGGTTCTTAATGTTGAAGAATCTTGAACGTGCTCGTGCGGAGAATGAGGAGAGCTTCTTGGAGGTTTGCGGATATTATACCCTGGGGGCGGAATGACCGCGTTATGAAGTACGAATTTGATGTTACCTGATCATCTCCATATGCTCACTGTCAATGGCTTGTACTGATTGCCGTGGACACTTCTACAAACCTGTCTTATTATTCGTGTTGTGCGTGGATGTGCTCAAAGGCTAGCTATGTCATGGCAAGTACGTTCCCAACAATTCGCAGATATGCCGCTTCTCATCTCATTGTAGGACAGAAAGTTTCAAGGTGCTTCATCCCACATCCCTTGATCACCCATGAGATATTGTTACTATCGTGACATGAGATGCTCATGTGCCTTACTCGCATGGCATGCCAATGCTACGCTGCGCAGCCATGTGCGTGTGGCTTACACATGTCTTATCCCCTAGAAGGACTTTTGCTAACCTCGATATGTGCACTGCAGTCGAAAATGTCTCAAATCGAACGAAATTACAGCGCACTCCGTTGATCTCCAGGGTCCAATATGCTATGCACGCTGATGGGAGGAAGGACAACACAGACACTGGAAATTTGGCATGTTCATAGTCAGGGTGGGCCTACACTATATTGATGAAGAGGGTGGAAATTATACAAGCCTTTGTATGTGAACGCCACTTGGGTTCTCAAGATGCATTCTTGGTTTGTTGTTTAGGTGGCTGAGACATTGATCAAGACACAAGTTTCACGCTCAAGCCTCACAAATACCTTATTTATACCGTCCTGAGCTCACTATCATTATGAAAATCATCACACAAGTACCGGTTCCCCAATCAACAATCAAACAGGGACATTATCCACAATTCTTTGGCAATATTTATCACACTCTCCTCGCCGTCAATCCAACGCGAGAGAAAAGAACACGACTCTTCCGGTATCTACCCACTACACCACACCGTTTCACTGGCTACAGCAACTATGACGGTCCTGCGCCCACGCCCCACGTTCCTATCCATCCTGCCCATTCGTCCTCCCCACTGCCGCGCCTCTCGCACCCCAACAACACGCGGCCCAACACACACCCTCCCGTCACCATCGGCGCCATCCCCAACATCACCATTCCATCTCTTCTCCCCCAGGCCTGTAACCCCCATCCCTCCGCTGCCACACTATCTCACAAGCACATACCTGCCGCCCACACCGTCCGTATTCGCGACATCTCCGACCTCGCCTATGAACCCGTTTCTCATACCGCCACGACAGAGTTTTCGCGTTGTTGCAGCGCCGCTGCTTCCGGCTTCGCCGTTGAGTATTTGGGAGGAGATGGGGCCGTTGGATGGAAGGGTGGGTGTTTGGCTTGAGGGGCTGGGAAGTGAGGTTTAGTGGGGAAAAGGGGGAGGAGGGAGAGGAGGTGGAGAGTGATGGAGAGATGGAGGGAGAGATAGAGCGATGTATATTCTAAAGCTTGCAACAAGATAAGGAGGGCAGTTGTCGTACTCACAACCAAACCTGCCCCAGCTATTTATCACGGTGATCATGACATTTGAATACCATAGACTTGCCTTTTCTCCCCTCCAAAACGTTAGCCAATACTCGTTCAAATTGCTTCGTTTCTTTGAAATATCCTAGACTCTACTTCTTCCCAGTGCATTCCTACACAGCCCATCCTCCTCCCCTGATTTTCTAACAGGCAGCACAAACCTCTCCTCCTGAACCTAATCTCCCTAGCTCCCGGTGTATACACAGTAGTCCACATTGCGCTAAAACTATCATCATGGCCCACCCACATAGACATGCTAGACTACAGCCAAGCCCGACAAAGTCTTAGCGTTAACCGTTTAGGTAGATTCCTCATTCACGCCACCGATACAAATACGCCACCCAGTCGTCCCACCGCCCACCCGCCCAAAAACCCAACCCCCACCCCAAGCAAAAACCCCCAACCCAAAATCAACTTCCCACAACACCAAGACCGTCCATAAACTACACTCGACACATACCCTGCACAACCGCACCCAATCCCTCTCCCGCACCGCAGTACAACCGACGCGCCCCAATAGCACACCAAACAAGCACTGAAACAGCACCATACAATTTCATAGTGCACTACCCTACTAGCAATCTCACGTCCCTACCCCCCTAGGAATGTTGGCCCCGTTCACCGAGGCCGTGCCAATCTATGTACCCCTGTCTATCGCAGGAACGGAGGAAAAATAAGGACCCGGGCTCCGTGGGGTGGTGGGAACGTCGGACTTGGACATTGGGAGGCGAGGACGCGGTGGATGTGCAGATATATATGTGTAGTATGGTGTAATGGAGTGTGAGGTTATATGCCATGGCTATTGTGGAGGGCAAGGTGGTTCAGTGGAGTAGGGAGATGGGTAATGTGAGGGATGGAGGCTAGCGCTTACTTCGGTGTGGCATGTGGTGGGATAGCATATGTTATGTGGATATATTCCTTTGTTCTAGCGGGCCGTACGGGAACGAAAGAATACTAATGATGATGATGGTAGTGGCGTGAGATACCCACCAGACTCGCCGGGCCATTTCCCTCAAATTTCTAAAACACGGCGAGGAAAGATGGGTGAGATTGCGTCTTACATCTTACACCGTACCTCCTGCATATAGCGAAAAAGATGCATCATTAAGAAGAGGGCTGAGGAGGTGGGAGGAGTAATGGGGTATTGTGGCTTTGTGGGTTCGTCATGAGAGAGCGTGGGCGTATGAGGGGTATGTGAAGATACATTGTGAATTGGTGGGAGAATGAAAAGATTGGCTGGATTGGATGAATTGAATGGATAGTGGAGATGATGACGACGAGTCAAATCTCTAACAAATCAATCAAGCCAACCTGACCCACTCCTTCACACACCACGCCCACGCCCACAGACGAGAAGGTAAAAACTAGGCTTC